TCTGGGAGAATCTGCTGTCTGCTGGCAGCTTCACCGAGGAGCATTTATATGGAAAATCTGCAGGGACGCGTGGACAGACTGGTTTTCTGATCGCCGCCTGGTTATTCGTATCCCGCTCTTTCTCTCTCGTCTCTCCCGGCTTCTTTCTGGGACTCACTGGTGGAATTTGTGCACGGGCACCAAGCAGCAGTGAAAAACAGAGACATGTGTTTTGCCTCAGCTGCCTACTACTATTCCCCATTCTCTCCCATTCACTGACCAAGTAGGAAATAAACACAAGGTTGGTTGTGCTTGCATTATATTTGTGTGTCGGCTGCTTGTGTCAGTACACCTGTTTGCATATTTTGTATGTATTCCCTCTGTCGTATGGACGGATGTTTTTGTTTCATTCATCCGACTTGGGATCTGTTTTCTGCTCCCACTAGAACCCGGGGCATGACTCCGAAGGTTACTATCCAAAAAAACGATTGGCAATTTAAGGGGAATTCCATGTCAGTGTGGCTGCCAGGGCGCTCAGGCATATAGACCTCTGCACTGTAAACACGTCTGGCAATAATAGTGCACTGAGTGTGAGCACCAGAGAAGATTAGCTCTGTGAAGGAAGATAGCAGGGAGTGTTTTAGAATCCTTACAGATGAAGTATAGAGAGAAACATATTAGACTGAATATATTTGCAAGTTAAAATGCATTCACAGTCACTAGTCGTTGCTCTAAATCAAGATTTCATAAGAAACCATCAGGTTAAACTGATAGCCAGGCATTACCCTGTGTCATGGGTAACGCTTGCTGCTGGCACAGTGATGGATTCAAGAGGAGCTTTCCTCATCTCATAGCAAAGCCGCTGGAGGATCATGTAAGCTGCTGAGCTTTTGGCTCAAACATTGTCCTTCAGTTTCACTGCTAGAGCTCTCACGCAGGCGTGTTTGGACAGGGAACGCACCTACTTGTCTCTGTGTGTTTGGGTGTGTGCATTAGCAAAGTTTACGCTACAGGTCACTGTGTGCGTGTGTGTTCGCGCTGCTTTTTGCAGCACTCGGGGATATAATTAGCGGCGCACAGATTCTTTCCTGGTATTGTTGTTATTAGGGTTGTAACACAACCCAAAAGGCAGTTTGTCTATTTTTAGAGGTGGCAGAGATGTAGGCAGGCTTGCTTTTGAAGTCCATCTGCCCCAGCACGATAAAGACAGTAGCTGCATGCATGTGTGTGAGTGGAGAGCCCGGGCAGTGTCACTCGGCATTTTAGGGAGTTTTTGTGACTACATATGTTTACTCATGGCTTCTTGCTTTACTCCTGCCTTTCTAGCAAGTTTGCGTATTGTATACGACGAAACATCAGAGTGAGATGGATAAAAGTGAAGCAGAGCAGAGTTATAGGACTGGAGAGAGGTCTGTGTAGGCTTCTAGATTAGCCAGCTGTCATCAGATGAAGATGGAGAGTTATGCCTTGTCTCAGGCACTTGCTCTCCATTTCCAAATGTCAGAAGTATTAGTGTGTAATGGATGAGTCCTCTGTCTTAGAGATAAACATCGAGTTCCACTAATGGAGGCTGTCCACAGAACCAATTCAAATACAAGGAAGTGGTCAGTTGAACTGCAGCGAAAAGTCACAAACATGTACGCATCCTTAATTGTCCTTTTTTTCTCGTCTATCTCTTCTCTGCAGCAAATATTTTCATACTACACATAAATAAGATTTTACATTAGGATGTAACGAACTGTAAAGAGTTGCTTTGATGTATTTTGGCCGAATAAGATATTTCAAGTCATTCTTTTAGCACTTTAAGTTACTTTCTGTCATTTTATACATGAAATAACTTATTAAATACAGTTGTATTGTACAGTTGGTTTTTATGCCTGACCTCTTATTCTTACCTGATAGTTAAGGCCAAGCTTAATTTTAACTCGCTGCATTTGTTATCTAACTAACTAAAGTCACATTGAGCATTCTTTGGTTCGTAGCAGTGATTCGTGGCACTGTTTTATAAATGGGAACTTTTTCATGGACAGCTTACCCTCAGATGAAGACATGTTGTCTGTTGGTGCTTCTAAGCGTGCAGATGGGAGGAAAAGGAGGAAAAAGAGGAGGGGTCACTAAAGGTCTCGAGGTTGTGCTGACCTCGGGTGCTGCAGTCACAGTCTAGTGCACATCAGTAAACACAGCCCACCTCATTTATCAGCCATAGAATTGTGAAGTTTACATCGACTGCAATAATAGCGTTATCACGCAATGCCACACTTTAATGGGCATTGCCTTTGTAAATTCCAGTCTTTCACTGAACAAAGCTCAGTATAAACTGGCATCTTCAGTGGGCTGCATTCAAAAAGTGTAAGCATCTGTCATCGAGCATGAAATTAAGATTATAAATGTTGCTGGTGTAATGTGAGGATCGGGTTTCATTCTTACTCGGATTAATTGTGCGTTCTCTCAAATGC